CATCGACGCTTCGTTCTGTAGCTGTTGACGCGTACTGAACTATCCAGACGTACGGCGCAAAGTTGGCTGTTAACCGGGATCCAATCGGGAAGTGAACGCTCGGCCTTGACACTGAGCGCAATCCCAACGCCAGCAACACCGCGAGCTTCGGATGCCGAACCGCCTGATACACGAAGAGTGAAGCTTGAGGATGAGGCCGGATTTGGAGAACGGAGGGGATGACTGAAGTTGGATCTCGTATGCGTGTTTCGGAGACACAAAATACATCTAAATGGAAGGTTTCGAGGGTTCTAGCTAAGGCGGCTTGTTGACCGATCTGGTAGTGTGCGGACATTGAGTGCGGCTAAGTGAAGAGGGGATTTTGGTTTCACAAATCTGGCAGCCTCTGAGTGGTTGACCTTATTAGTTGAGCGCTGAGTGATATGCGATGGGTCTCGTAAGCAGGAGGCACCTGGGAATATTCGGAGGACTAGACAGATGGGAAAGATGGTTTTCCAAACGGGTACCCAAGATTTTGGGGCACGACATACTTCGCGGCAGCCCACACGGACGAAGGGTTTTTTTCTTTGGGAACCCTAACCGGAGCCTTTGACTCAAAAGTCTGACCCGCAAAGCAGCGGGAATTTGTTGGTTTTTCTTTGGGAATCCTAACCGAAGCCTTCGACTCAAAAGTGGCAGTGGGGCGTAAATCCAACGCGGGAGAGTGAACGGAGCATCTGTATGGGAGCTTCTAGAGAGAGAATTTCGATTAATTGTGTTGCTCGCTGGTGCGTTGATTGTCGGTCCGCATTTCGGGATCAGCCCTCGCCTCATGCACCCATTGAGACAGGCAAAATGTGGAATGGACAGCACCTTATTGGCTGGGGGCTGCCCAGTTTGGGCGGGCGGTAGCTGTCCAATGAAGTGCGAAGACTTCTCCCACCGTCGAGAGGAAGTTCCATGTACCCTGCTCCTGCGTCCATCTAGTGGGGTTTCTTTGACCGGTAACCTGCCCCTCATTGTGTTTATTTGCTGGGGTGACCTCTCCAGAGGCGGGTGTGGATAGACGAAGGAAGCCAGGAGGTGCCCAAGCAGCTGACTTTGTGAGACTGAGCTTCGTCTGGCCTCTACCCGTTGACCTTAAAGGCATGATTGGATCTACCGCTGTGAAAAGCCATCCTGTGTAGCTCGCAGGGTCATGGAGGCACGCAAGCCATCACACCACGTCAAGGTGCAGTCTCGTCGTGATGGTTAACAAACACTAAAGGTGAATCTAGAGCTAAAATCCAGGTGCCGCTAAGGGCGTCTCTTGTATCAAACTCTCATCAAAGCTCATGATCTTACTGCAGTTGGTTTATCCTCTCCCAGGAGTCAGTCAAAGTAGTAGCAGTAGTGCAAGTAATAATAATAATAATAATAATCAACTTACCACATTTCCGAAAGCCATAACACCGTCCCGAACCATGCTAGTAACCGCCTTCAGCTGTGAAACAAAAATCATGGAAGAACATGCAAAAGGGGAATGGGAGGCATGTGTTAATCAGTTCAGTTCAGTTCAGTTCTTACAACCATTAACCATGCACTTTCTTGCGCCGGTTTTGGTTGCCCATTGGGATAATGCAGCAGAATGATGACTAGAATGTTGAGAGCAGATTCATGCGGGAGATAACGCATTTACTGAAGTTACAAGAATANGTGTTAAGAGAATAATGAGTAGATGCATGAACGCCACTGTGTGCGACACCAAGCCATATCGCTCGGTGTCTCTAACCATCGGTGACCATGGTCTCTGGGTCCCCATCCAGGGAGACTAATGGTACCTATATGACCCAATCTCCTGGTCAGGATTTTCATACCCTCATGCCAGGTCTTAGTTTGACCGCCCTTCATTTTTTTCCAACCGCTATCTGCCTGGGCATGTGCTAATAAGCAATCCATAACGGGGATAGGAAAAGTGATCTAAACAGTGGTGTTTATGATACCCAGCCAGAGCGAAAAAGGTGTATGGTCTCTCCTAACTTTTCAGTTCATGCTTCGTTTGCTTGGTACACGAAGAAATTCACCACGCAAACGCTGAATCACCATACGGAATCGTCTTAAGGCTGGATTATCAAATGATCGTCTTCCGATTACGTTTCTCGTCCAGATAGCAATTCCACAGGTAGTGAAAGAAAAACACAGCTACAAGTGTGTGGAAATTCATTTACTATGTAAAAGCATGGTTATTTATAAGGACATGGGAGGACATAAAACAAATGATTGGTTCATTGAATTGACGTCAACCTCTTTGATTGGTTGTGTCATACCAAAGCATGTTTTAGGGAGCACGCCTACACCCTGACAGTGACAGTAGTAACATATCCTGCTATCTACCGCCTGTGTTCTTAGTTTTATAGTTAGAAGGCTTCCAGTGTTAGTGAGCATGCTACAATGTGTTGTGGTTATGAATTGAGGCTAGACAACTATCATGGCTACCGAGGTACTCGCCCTGTAGAGTTCGGGCTTAACTCGAGTCTAGGTGTGCTCCGTCATTGTGTGATATCGCGCGCGCAATCCTAAGGCGTCCCGTTTATGTCCTCGGTGCATCATTGCTGTGTTTAGTTACTTTGTGCTGAAAACATTGTGTGCTACCCGTTAGGATTGTGTCTTGTATTTATATTGTTGTGTTTGTTTATTGTGAGTGATCCTGTGTTACACAAAAGATATAACCAAATGGCGAGACAAACCGAAACGTGGCAAGTTAACGAATCTGGACTCACATTCATCTGTTTCAGTGAGCGCAAATCCGATAACCGAGTGCGCAAAAATACCCATGAGTCGGCAAACTCGGGCGACTTATCTTGCAGCATGTACACTTCGGTCAGATTGTAAACGTACGCCAAACCGAGGCGTTTTGCGTACCAGGTCATCTGCAATTGCGATGGATCACATAAACACGGGGAAATGGGAATCAGAATGTGTCCATACAAATCGTAAACGAAGACAAATGCGAAAAATCCCGTGCTTGACCATAATACATCTGTTGTACCGCCCCTTGCAAAGCGAACTAATGTATTCAGGGGCAATCAGTAGGGAAAGAGCACTCGGAAAGAGCAATCGAGTAATAACCCGTTGGCCTCCTTGGCCACTTGAGCCNCCCACAATAAACGGAACAAGAAACGCGCATTTAATGCGACTACATGAGTTGAACAATACCAAGATAGCAATGGCTTGTATTGACACTGATTTCGACGCGTTCGCAATTATCCTGACTCGTGTCCTCATACTAAGTTTGTCCGGAGTGCTGCAACTTAATATAGTCAAAGTCAAAGTTTTATTATGGGAATAGCTTACAAGCTGGTGCTTCTCTTGTCCCATAGGATGTTTACACAGATGAATCGTTACACATAGAGGAGGATAAAAAGAGAACAGACGGCCTGGATTGTATCGAACGGATCAACTGAATGTAAGAGAGGAAATGTAGCAATCTGAAACACAAAAGGAAAGCCACGCTGCTGACAGCTGATTCTCTTGAAAAATTAGTCCGGACAAACCGTTTACGATCAAAGTATATTACTATTATTATTATTTTATACCGGCTTGTGAACAAGCACGGTGCCAACGCCACAACCATATTAACAATAACAATAATAGGGGATAGGTGCAATGGGGTACAGAGCAAAGTGGAAAAAGGATGAAGTAGTTAAATACCGGAAATGGAAGACAACAGGGATAATAAAATCTTTTGTGTTTCACGGTGCACTTTTTGATATTTTTTGTTTTGTTTTTGTTATTTTTACGGGGCACAGGATTTCGACAGGCAGACCATACAGCATTCGCGCCACTGACTTCTATTCTGAGCCATATATCTCAGCGTCTCTACCCAACGATAATCCTCATCCCTTGGGCCCCAACCTGGAAGGTGGACTGCACCAACCGAAGCCAAAGCTGAAGTTAGCTTCTTCATACCTCTAGCCCATGTCATGGTCTGGCCGCCGCGCCGCTTCTTCCAGCCTTGCCCGGCACGTGCGAAGAGAGCACGGAAAAGTAGTCGATGGGCAGGCATACGCAATACGTGACCAAACCATCGGAGGCGGTGTCGAGCGATTACTTCCGGTAGGGAACGACTATCCGCAACCAACACACGACGACGAACCTCGTCATTACTCACCCGGTTTTCCCACCAGACACGAACAATGCTTCAGAGACATCGGTGGTCAAATACAGAAAGTCGATTAATATCCTCAACGCGGAGGGGCAACCGTAAAGGAGAACGCTACAAACCGCGGCGATGTACACTCTTCCCTTAAGGGACAGTCGAATGTCAGGTCGGCGCCGCAAGTATCGCAGGTTGGCGAAAGCTGCTCTAGCTTCGCTATTCGTCATGTGATCTCCTCCTCAACACCCCAGCCAGCTGCGATCAAGCTCCCGAGATACTTAAAGCTCACAACTACTTCCAGATAACCACCACAGAGGGTGAGTGCAGGAACAGGCTCCTGCCAGTCTTGAAGAAGCACTTTGCACTTTGATGGTGCACAGCACATACCATACCTGGATACCTCTATCGCCAAGCGGTTCAAAGCGTTTTCGACTGCCTGCAAAGCGATGTCATTGGCATATTCTAAGTCAAGAACTCTGTTCCCTGGGAGGAGTTCGAATCCACCGTTTGCTAGACCGGACAAAGCATCAAAGTATAGCTCGAGTGGTTTGAATGAATTCGTAAAATAAATTGGAACCTCGTGCCCAGGCTTCTTAATGAAGCATGCACAGACGTGAGGCCCATGCGAGATGCATCTGATGCATCGAGTGAACGGATGAACCATCTCCCGAAACCAAATTCAACTAATGGCACTCTGAACTGGGTGTCTGTGAACGTATTTCAGACAGACTTCAAATTGTGTGCAGAGAGAGATATCATAGTACGAATAACTCCATTACAAGAAAATCAATGCATTACTGCAGAGTTCACTACGATTTTGGTGAACCACTTTAAGTGTAACAAAATGATGGCTTTATTGTATGCTACTCAAGACGAGACAGATCATTGTCCAGTGTTCATTTCGAGGACAAGTCCCCGAGGAAAAATTGTTCACGATTCGTAGTAGTTAAGTGTAGATAAATAGTCAAAAATATCAGAGGCTTTTTATTCGCAAGTCGATCGACCTGATCCGGTTCAGTGTCTGCATATATATCAGAGCATGACTATTTTACCAAGGATATATTTTCCCACTGAAACGAAGATACATTATCACCTGTAAATTTTACCTCGAGTATTCTTCAGGGTTCTGAACATTGGCTAACTTTTATCTTCCCCTAAAAGCTTACAATGAATTTAGCATTAGCAGACTAAGGTCTGTCCTGGTGGAGCTACTGTTAACTGAACGGTCCTTTTTCTCGGTGTTCAAAATTATCCTGACGAGATCTTAGATTGATCTGTGTTCATATCGCTATTAAAGTGCGAAAACATAAGATCTAGTCTGTGGTGAGTATTACCAAGTAATCCCCCCCCCCCGCTCCCCCACATCATGCTTAAATATCGGAGCATTGTATGAACCCAAGCCCATTAGAGATATCTCCTTATAGAGGAGTCTTGAGTCTGTTTTCAACTCAACACTCTTTTTTCTCGCGATTTACTAGAATAAGAGAAAAGGGAGAACAACTAGCTTATTACATCTGAAAAACAGACTATCATATTATTCCATTGTATTTTCAAATATGTACCATTTTTGAAACATGACTTCCAACCTAATTTACTTCAAAATGACAAGTAAAACGTTGTCCTGGTTCCTGGCTTGCTCTCAGTTGGGTAGTGTCATTTGCGAGCACATTATTTCGTCAAAATTCCATTCTGTTCCATTCTTTTACGACAAAGCAACAGCAGGCTTTATGTATGTCTCTGGCACCTGTCCAAATATGACGGTCAGAGACGAAGCTGGATCACAGAGCGAGAGAGAGACCTACAAGCCCTATTTCTAGAAGGAAGCATCTGGATAGACTAAGGCCCCATTGCCTCTTGCCCATTCTGATTGGGTGAAGATTAGCATGAATGCGTTAGTCAAAATCTAATGATGTCAGCCGAGAAGCCTCTGAACCGCTCGATGTGTCAACGTCTCCCTGCACATGAAACCCCTGTGGCCTGACAGGGAGCACGTGGTTATGCATAGGTTAGAGATGTCACCTCCAATAGAATTAAGTAATGTTGAAGACGTTACTTCGTACTCTGTTTTCAAGACTGTTCATGGAAAATACCCACTTGCTCACCCGAGGCCTATCCTTGGTGCACTATGATATGGTTTGACTGTATGAAAGATTTTATCAATTTAAAAAATCATTATTTTTACATCTACTTATCGGCAAACGTGCTGTTTGATGAAAAGCAACAACTAACAATATTCATTGACTTGATGTTCACTGGTGAGCAATTTCAAGTTAACCCTCGACCCCAGAACAGAGATCTATGTGAACACAAAGGGCATGCAGTTGAAGAAACAGAAATAATTAACAGATATGATTCGGTATTTTGGAACACACAACTGATATGAGAGCCTGCAACGGCTCCGTACACATTCTCTGTGTGTGGTTTCACTAGTGGCGGTGGTAAAGTGGCTTAAGTCGTTGTCACTGGCTTGCTTTTGAAGTTAGGATCCGAGGTTCGAACCGCGCCAGAGCCGCTTAACTTTTGTGGCGGGNCGCTTGGCTGCCGTCCGGTTCGATGTCAAGACTAACCAAGTGGGGCCTTGTGTCTCGGAGCCTGTAGTGACGGCTTCTGTGAGTGAACAGCAGGTACTTGTGACTATGGGGCTTAAACTATCTGTTCTTCATCAGACAAAAAATATCGTTAAAAAATTATGTTTTTACCATCTCCAAAGAAACTCCCTAACCACAACCTTGACCGTGACTGTGTTGGCCCGATCTTTGGTTTAAAGTCACACTGTCGTAGTGCCATAAGTAACAAAGATGCACGCACTTGTTATTGTGGATCGCACCTTCGCACTGCTCAAAACTATTTCATGATAATTCAGCGTCTCGAAAAGCCCCAGTATGGTCGGGAGTGGGTGCCTATGGTTGCGGCTGGTCACCCTCCTCTTGCACTTCGCGAAATGCTCCCATACGACCAAGCGTCTCAAATAGCCTCTGCTGAGGAAGCCCTGCTCACTGCCTTCTCTTGGCGGAGGTGTTCCCTCACCAAAGCGAGAAGACGAAAAGCCAACATCCGGGGCTGTAACCGAGTCTACGAGCCACTGGCAAGTCTCCCTTGAGAGTTTGATAAAAACTCAGATTCTAAATTAACCAAGAAGAGATATATGAACCTGATTGTGGCGGTGGTTACCAGCTCAACTGGAGGACACTGATCCCCCCCCCCAAATGGATTGTGGTTTCCAAACACCGCCCCGCTACCTTGCGCGTTAGGCTTTGGTTAGCAGAAGGCTCCTGGTGTGAAAAAAGAAAGAAAAGAAAATTGACCTACTTTGGTCCGGGAAGTCAAGTACCGTCTTGTCCTCGAGCAAACAATAGACCTAATTGTGTAATAGAGTTACGTACCCTGATTTGTTTGGCAAAGTCTAGAATCAGACGCCTGAGAAAAACACAGTAATTTAACCGACTGAGACCGAATTGGGTTCAATCTACAACCTCACGGACCAGAAGAATGAACTTTGTCTAACTTCCAGCCCCTGACCTTTCAGGAGCGATAGGATCTCTTGGTTTGACAAAAGAATTCCTGACTAGTTCGTTGGAACACAAGCACACAAGCCATCACACTGCACCAAGGTGTAGTCACGATTATCGTAATCCCACTTGCAGTCCTGGGTTTCCACCGCCAAGAAATGCTTTGATGGAGTGTCTCTTAGGACCTCAGGTGGGGAAATCCCACTCGTTACTTTCTTATGGCGAGGCTGTCTTCACAAAAAGTGAGAGAAGAAAAACGTTCATAACTGCAGGCAGGTTGATGAGCCACGGAAAGTTGATATACCTAGAGGAACTGAAAAATTCTAATTTCAAATCTCAGAATTCAGTTTACACACCCTGAAATCCTGGATGTGCCGCGCCCGAGCGACACAGGACATGAAATCCCACACTTATTGGCATGTCTGGCCATCTGAAAAGTTGTCATTTTTTGTTGAGAGCAATCAGTTCTCCTAGTTACTTTAGTACAAGTTTGCACTGTGAACTTTATCGGAACACAGGCGTAAATTGCGATTGTTTTGTGTAACTGTTACTTTGATCCATCACTTTAAACTTCTCCTGGGAGGATGAATGTGACACCACAGAACTTACATCCGTTGATCGATCACCGGCCTGGGCCCAAACCTCATCCACCAGTTGGGCAAGTAAACCGACAGACGAGGGCACATTAGACGGGAGGGCAAGTAAACCAAGAGCTTGAGGCCATGTGTCCAAAATGGGAATAATCTGTTCCAGACGGAATTTCAACGCTCGGTAGAGAAACGCATCCACCTCGTTTGGAGTAGGTCTGTAGAAAAAACGAATCAATAATACAGATACATAGCTACACTATTTAAAGGGAACAAAAATAAGCGAAAAGTGGGATGTGTAAGAGGACACATGGAACAATGTGACATTGATCAATATGATCTAAACATGAGAAAAAGAGGCTTAGTTCAGGAGGAAAGCACTTGGCGCATTTCCGCAGTTAGGATGAAGCCAATCAGTTTCAACCGGAAGCCAGAAACACAACAAGGATAATATGCGTATTTTACACACAAGCCTAAACTGGCTTAGATCCCTATTGAAATGTGGTCCCAGAAATAGCGAACATGTCCGATAAGATGGCCTTTGATTTCGTTGAGACAATTCCCCTCAAAAACAGTGTAGCCCCATAATCAGCGAGAAAATCAATTCATAACGGCCTCTGTTTCAGTTCTCTGTGGTTTTCTGTTATTTAGACAGAGACGGATACATACAATAAATACAAACATGAAGGGACACTAGAATTCTTTTATCCCTTTTTCAATAAACGGGGCACCTAATATGGTTACATCTTATATGCAGTGAGCACTGAAGCCACAGCAAATCAGAAAACGCGAAAATAGTCGAGTTGGCATGAAGATATTACTCACAAATGTACCCAAATGGAATGAGACAAAAATATGGGAGCAATGCAAAATATTTATTAATATTAACAAATGTTTCACCTCCGTTGGGAAATAGCAGCCCTTTTGGCTTGAAAGCATCCATGCATACTCTCTGTCTGCTGCCGATACAATTTATGCTGGCTGAAATGCTAATATCTTCCCACGATACGTTCAAGACGGCTTGAAGGGGAACAAAGGACATTGGCATTTCAGTATGCTCTCCTGGTAAACAACCCCCTGAGGTTTTCAGTAATGATAAGAGCCGAAATATGGATTCTCCAAAAGGTGTCCATTTTTATGTAGTGCGGTGCTGTAGTATTGAAAAGATGATATCCCACCCACCATAGACAACAAAAGGAAACTTCAGATGTCTTCAAGTATGTTATTGCATTTCGGTTACCGATCATGGCTACCAACTGAGTAAAATCAGCAGCAGAAAGCGAAATCCGGAAGATAACTCATCAGTTGTCGAAATGTTGCTGACTAGATGCGATGGCTTCCTATCCGGTATCCTGCCAACAGTGATATGAATTATCCGATTCATCTTCACTGAATATCAGTTATTATTCGTGCGCCGGGCATATATGGTGTTTGGTCTACAGCAACCGCACCTGAATTCAATGCGGATTCAAGGAAACAAACCACCTCATCTTTTTGGACCTTGGTAGCAAGGTTTGTCGAAACGTCTGGTACACAGATTATTTAATGACCGTCACTGATTGCTCTTTTGGATGCGGATCGGATAACTTAGCGCTATATTTGTTTGACAAACATTCTCAGAAGTTCGATTTTTCCAACAGATTCATTAGGTAACGCCGAACCGCCGTTTTAATGCTCCTTTGGGTGATATTGTATTGCACGGCAATGCGCGACTAACGAACGTTGGTATTTTTGTCTCCTCTGTTTATGTTAAGCCGCTGCCTTGTGTTGCAGGGAACACACGCGCAAGTGACAAGCGGACTCTTATGGTAAGATGGAACAGTCATAGGACCGGCAGGCGTAGCAGATCAATCGAAGTCCTTGGAGTGACATGGTAGCACTCAGAGTTCAGCTAAGACTATCTGAGAAGGAAATTCTTCGACATATCTCGTCGTTAATGATTCGTTTTCGATCCTGTTCCGATGGCAAAACGAATGCAATGGTGGTCAAGGAACATCAATCTGTTTTCTGCCTTAACGCAAATGGGACAAATCCTGTAGTGGTAGAAAAATACCGTATGTCGCTGTAGTGTAAACTCAGCCTCTCAGCGAAAGACAACGATCACGTTTGAGAGACGATTAAGGCATGTTGGGTTTCCTGGATTCAGGCTGATTTCTTTCCTGACAGTGCTCTTGAGCTGAAGCACATTCAAGGTAGACAAAGTGATCGACAAGTTCTAACTGGTCACGCTTGAGTGCCATTGGGAGCAGCCTCTTGTGAGTTTTTGTACCCCCAGTACATCTTTACCAAGACTTTCCACCTTGAGCTTCATCAAGAAGTCTATCCGAAAATCCTGGTGGGTCGCCTCAATCACGCATTCACCTAATAAAGTGACTTATAAATTCTGTCCAACCGCATTATACCTTAGCCCCTTTAAATGGCACCATCGTCAGCCTAATATTGACAACTCCGATCAGTTTATCACTTGCCCTTTCTGTCCTATCTTGGATGCCCTTGCCCTACTTTCTCACTCCATTCTCTGTTCTCGACAAAAAGTGTAGCTTTCCGATTACACAACCAAATCACTCATCAATACAGTGAAGTTCAAATATCAACAAGCGAGTTTTGGGTCCAGTACTTCACTCATCACTAACAGTTCACTGGACAGTATCAGAGCATATAATCCGTATCGACCTCTAATCGAGGATTAATCTTGTTACCCTTCTCGTTTTCTTCTCATATGACCTCATTTCACGCATGTGGCTATTTTTTAATCCCAGGCGTAAACAGGAAATTCATACCCGGAGTCTGGGGCGAGCCAAAGCCAGATCCGCAAGGCGGTGTTTGAACACAACAATCAATCTGGGGGAGTCAGTGTCCAGCTCATTGTATTACACGACCACAGAACGGGGTTTCACCTCCAATATGCCCAAGAAACCTCAATCCATAATCGATCCGGTGACCACTGCCACTGTGTGGGTGGATGGGTGTGGTTTGTATGCCTCTTCTTGGTTGGTTTGGAATCAGGGTTTTATCCAACTACCCCAGGTGAACTGTCAGTGGTTCACCAACCCGGTTATAGCCCCGAATATTGGCTTTTCGCATCCTTAC